TGCCTACACAAGCCCTCTTCTAGCAATGGAAAGGTTTACAGATTCTCATTCGTAATTTTTATCCCACATTGTAACAATCCTTGGCAAAACATCCCTTTAGCACAGGAGTGCAAAACCATTCCATCAGACAGGGAATTGAATCCGCATTAAATAAAACATCAAATAGAACTAGCAAAGGAAACAAGTCACCATTAATATTCCTTTGATTTACCATCCCCTTTTCTTTCACCGACTGTTCAGACAAAGCCGAGCTCGTTTGTGGAGAATTGGTCAGCCTTTCTCCCTCGAGGAGCGAAAAAACTCACACTTCATCGTCCTTGATGAGGGTATGAGCTTGAGCATTTTCGATGTAGGGCAGAAGACTGAGCGGAGTTTGGGGTCGATCGTAGAACGGCACGTTACATGTTGATGAGACCGTATGTGACATCGAGAGCACCTAAGTAATCAAACTGAGCAGTAAAAGTGGTTCATAGAGAATAGCTTTCTAGGTACCTGTCGAAAAGTCGAATTGTGTCCGATAGCGCCAAACCATGAGTATGGAATCTGTAGTCTGATCAGGCAGCTGTGCTTATTTTCTTCGAATGGAGAGAGATGGCATGACGAGGAGACTGAATTGAAATGTATCAGGAATGCTCAGTTACGAGCGGCACCTAGTCGGCTCTACTTGGTTTCACGATGCGCCGTGCATCCGAATTCCGTTCAAAACATGTAATATTGCAAAGATTTTGCATATTTGACCTGAGCCGGTCCTTTGGTAACAGCAGAACTGCTTCAATCCTTCCATAGGAGCCTCGTGTAAGTCAACCTACTTCAAATGAATGAAGGGCCCATTTGACATTGAGCTATTTTCTACTACCTCTTCCAAAACGGGTTCTAGAGCATAATGTGGCGCTCTGGCAATTGCGCTAGTTCCACATGCGATAAGATATATGCATAGGCCATGTTATTTATATCTTTCTATTCCGGAAGCATCTATTATGCGCCATCTTGGGCCACGGCTAGGGCTATTGTTCCATGCGCTCACGCAGCTTGTTAAATTATGGGGTGTTTTTGCAGGAATGATGGCTGAAAGAGCTCCTGCTAGCGCTCTATTACGGTAGCGTTCATTCGAACTACTTAAACCAACGAGGGGAGGGGAAAGGTGGTGGGAAACAAAGTGTGTTGTGTAGTTCTATCACAAGTAGAGATGATTACTATCGAGATCATTTTGTGCCATTATTCATCAGCCCTTCCACTCCGGCAGTCGCTGGGACTTTTTATTTCCCTGCATATGCTCCACCTGTGCTCAGTTCATTTGCGAGGAAGCTTTGGAAAGTGAATGAAAAAAGGGAGCTCCGTAGCAGAGAAGGTTTATAAAACTATGATCGAAGCACCAAAAACGTCAGACTAATGTTTTTAATTGCTTTACATCCAGGCATGTTGTCGATTGGCTAGATGGAAGGTGTTATCGTAACCATAAATCCAGCACAAAGCTAATGTCGCAAATCCTGTGACAGTTCGGCAGCGTTCAGAGTTGGAGATCGTACATGCATTTGGGCGATTAAGCGATTAATTTAAGGAAAGGGATACGTATCGATTAGGCGATTAGGCGAGTAGGCGATTAGGCGATCGCTCAATGGGCGGAGCAACAAATCAATACGTATCCTTCTCTTATCGCCTACTCGCCTACTCGCCTAATCGCCTACTCGCCTAATCGCCTAATCGATACGTATACTTTCTTTTTGAATCATCGCCTAATCGCCTAAGCGCTTCGCATGTACGATCGCCAACTCTGAACGCTGCCTTAAAGGCACAACCCAGGCAGAGGTCGTGTGAACGCTTCTCTTCGGTCTGTAGTATAGACCCCTAGAGGACAATCACAAATGTGGCGTTCCCGTGCACGGAAACCAACCGACAAAGAGCGCTTGGGCCTTGCAAAGTAAGCTGCTGAAGCTGCAGATTTTTCTCTTCTTCTTCTTTGTTGTCTGCGCTCTCTCATCTGCAGTGCTCTCTCGCCCATACTCTCCTCTCCGCGCTTAGTCTCTCATTCCCTTAGCACAGCCAATTAGGAAGGTGAGTGAGCCCTTAACCTAAGCGTTTTTGACGGATTCTTTTCCTTTTTTTTCTTTACTGCCGGCCCATTTTTGCACAATATGTCGCATTTCCGTGGCAAAGAGTACAGCAATAAATAAGCTACACCAATAAGCAATGCTCCTGGAGGCATGCCTTTAAGTTGGTTACTGCTTTTTCTTCCCATTCCATTATTAAGTCCTCTAATATAAAAGGGCATTTAGAAAGGGACCCACTATCAAACAGAATTAGAGGTCGACACACCGACACACAAAGTCTGTGGTTCATTTAGTGAAGGACAGTGTGACAAGGTGTGGAAACGCTGTGCATGAAGACGTTTTACGGGGATAACGAGGATAACCGAGGCTGTACTTTTCATGCATATCAAACCCACCTTAGAGCTACTAACCCGACATCCGGTGCACGGACTCCCTAGGCTACTGCTCTGCGATCTTCCAAAAAAATCTCCAACTGAGATTGGCTGTTTACTGCTAAGATATGTTTGATTGCCACGCGCATGTTCGTGGGAGTGATTTCATATATTGTTCGTTTCAGCCATTTCGTAGCCCTTGATTGAAGGCTACTTTGTAAAAAACATGACATCTGACACGACCACCCTTTCTTAGGCACAATAAGTAACCAAATAATCCATTTTGGTAATTGTGAAGTTTTTCAAGCCTTGTCAACTTCTTGCACGTTGCATTCTGAAGCTACTTTGAGAGTGTTTCTGCCTTGCGACTGACCTGTGTCAGCTGTTGGACTGGTGACTTGTACGGTAACACAGGCGGACTGTTTGAGAAACGAGAGAAGTGGTAGGTCCGCAAGAGCCAAAACGTCCACATGAGGTCGATCCTGAATAGGCGAAAATTACGGCACAAATTCACCTCTGGTACACAAGCAATTATGGCCACGAGTCCAGGCCACCAGTCACGGGGCGGCTACGCCTAGAGTACACATTATTACTACGCTGCACCGGCTGCAAAAATCCATAAGGGCATTGCCAGTGCAAAAATTCTAATGGGATTCCGGTGTGACGGCAAGAACATAGAAAAACATGATGTGAGAAGACAGCTCCGCGCCACGTTGAGGGCAGAAGCCCCTGAGGCTATGCTTCATGCTGAAGTACATCTTTCCATGTTATATACGACTTTCAATATTCTCAATATTCCTTTCTTATGTAGCCGCAGAAAGCCGGGCAAGAAGTTTCGAAAGATCATCGAGTTTGAGGAGGAAAGGTATAGACGAGTTTGTGTCTAGTGTGGTAGTGTGGCATAACCCACGAATTTGTTTGTTATACAACCCCATACTCTTTTTCCCGGATCCATACTACGCAGCGAGTGGGGTAGCTAATGCCGAAAATAGACTTAACTGCTCGGCACTGACGAATTCCACTTGGCATGTGCCAGGTATTCTACTTATATTTTGAATCGTACTGACACTCGGTGTGGTTTTGTCTATACAAAAACAGGCCCAAATGTCCACGCCCTGCTTGTGCACAAGTCAGTGATTCGATCT